TTGGGTTGGTGAGGGTTGGTTGAGGGTTGGTTTGGGGTTGGTTGAGGGTTGGTTGAGGGTTGGTTTGGGTTGGTTGAGGGTTGGTTTTGGGTTGGTTGAGGGTTGGTTGAGGGTCGGTTGAGGGTTGGTTGAGGGTTGGTTGAGGGTTGGTTGGGGTTGGTTGAGGGTCGGTTGAGGGTTGGTGAGGGTTGGTTGAGGGTCGGTTGAGGGTCGGTTGAGGGTTGGTTGAGGGTTGGTTGAGGGTTGGTTGAGGGTTGGTTTGGGGTTGGTTGAGGGTTGGTTTGGGGTTGGTTGAGGGTTGGTTGAGGGTTGGTTGAGGGTCGGTTGAGGGTCGGTTGAGGGTTGGTTGAGGGTTGGTTGAGGTTGGTTGAGGGTTGGTTTGGGGTTGGTTGAGGGTTGGTTGGGGTTGGTTGAGGGTTGGTTGAGGGTTGGTTTGGGTTGGTTGAGGGTTGGTTTTGGCTTGATTTCGGCTTGAATTTTCGGGTTGGTTTGGGGTTGGTTGAGGGTCGGTTTCGGGTTGGTTGGGGGGTTGGTTTTGGGTTGGTTGAGGTTGGTTTCGCGGTTGATATTTTGGGTCAGTTTTGGCTTGGTTTCGGGTTGGTTTCGGCTTGATTTCGGCTTGATTTCCGCTTGATTTCGGCTTGATTTTGCTTGGTTTCGGGTTGGTTTCGGGTTGGTTTTGGCTTGGTTTCGGCTTGATTTCCGCTTGATATTTCGGGTTGAAGTTGACATATTTGACTTCTGAAGGTCGGGGGAGAAAGGATGGGAAGGAGGGGGGGGGAAGGGGGTGGTTATCATTGTTGTTGTTATCGTTATACTGTTGTTAGTGTTGTTATTATTACATCATCATTATCATCATTGTTGTTGCTATTGTTGTTATTGTCATTACTACAATTATTTTTATCATCATCATCATCAATATTATCATTATTATCATTATTACTACCACTATGATTATAATCATTACCATTAATAGTATCACTACTATTACTACGACTATTATCATTTCTACTGTTGTAATTATCATCATCGTTATCAACCATTAAACATCATTATCATCATTCTTTTCATCATTATCATAATCATTACCAATACTCTTATCATGACTTTATCATTATCATTATCACCATCATCATCATCAATATCATCATCATTTTCATTATCAATATCAATTAACATTATCACTATCATTATCAATGTCAGTGTCAGTAACAGTATCATCATCATCACCATCATCACCATCATCATCACATCATCATTATCATCAACAACACCGCAATTGTATGTGTTGCCAACTATGGGTCACGCAATAAGGTTCATTTTTCCGGTCGCGTGTACATGACTACTGGCTTGTGGTTTATTGCCATAGTAACCTAAATACCAACTTTGGTACACTGTCTTGCTTAATTTATTTATTTGGTATTTTGTTGTTTTTGTTGTTGTTGTTGTTGTTTGTTGATGTTGTTGTTGTTTTTATTGTTGTTGTTGTTTGTTGTTGTGTGTTTGTTGTTGTTGTTGATGTTGTTGTCTTTGTTATTGTTGTCGTGTGGTTGTTGTTGTTGTTTGTTGTTGTTGTTGTTGTTATTGTTGTTGTTGCTGCTGTTGTTGTTGATGTTTGTATTTTGGAATTTGTATATAGGTGTGGGTTTATTTATTTATTGGTTTATCATTTATGTTTTTTTTTATATATGAAGATCAAGAGACAGAATGTATGTCAATTGATAGATAATTAAATGGTCTGTTTATCTCGACATAATATTAAAATCCTTGAACGAATTATTGAATCTATTATGAAAAGGGAAGTAGATAGGCCTATATTTCATAAACTTTCGAAATTTTTCAAAGAGGAGACACACTAGAGAAATTCACTTATCAATTATTATTTTTTATTTATTGCAAATTTTGTATAGAGGTGTGGGTTTATTTATTTATTGGTTTATCATTTATGTTTTTTTTCTGTTTCTATATGAGGATCGAGAAATATATTGTATGCCAATCTGATAGATAATTAAATGAAATGTTTTATCTCTACATGATAAGATTAAAATCCCTTGAACGAATTACTTGAATCTATTATGGAAAGGGAAGTAGATAGGCCTATATTTCATAAACTTTCGAAATTTTTCAAAGAGGAGACACACTAGAGAAATTCACTTATCAATTATTATTTTTTATTTATTGCAAAACACTATAACAAGATCTGATCCCGCAGAAAGTACATATATCATTTTAATTAATATGTAACAAAATATTTTTTTTTATCACTTATCCGAAGCACTAAGGAACAACTACATATAACAATAAAACACAACATATATATATATACAAATGGCTATAGACTACACATGACAAAAAAAATTAAAACACATATTTCATAAATAATAAGATTATCATTTTTTCACAGTGACAGGTAAGTAAGGATACAAAATTCTTCTAATTCCATTTTGAATTTTCTTTTACAGAACATGGACAAAGAGCAAATGTGTATAAGATATTACAATAATAAAAAAATGGATAACACTCACAAAGTTAAAAAGAAAAAAAAAAGAGAAGAGTTAATTTCATGAATATTAATTAACTGGAAAAATAATGTACAGTTTTTTTTCTGTTTACAATAATCCTCAGTTGTGATTTTAAATTTTCCATTGTGCTTTTTATGGCTTCAAGGAGACATTTATACAGCATCTCAAAGAAATGAACTTAAAAAAAAACAAAAAAAAAAACAGATTTTATATTTATATGAAACAGGAAAAAAATTGGAAATGACAGAAGAATATATTAATGGAATAGATAGTGTTTTTTGTTCCTTATTCAAACCTGTCACGTGTTACAAATGACAATATAGGACAACAGACAGTAACAATATATTTTTTTCTTATAATAAGAGTGATCCGAAAACGCGTGATGTCGACACAGCTTTTTGTATTAGTACATATTAGATTACTTATTCAAATCAGAAAACTACAAAAAAATCTTTCAAACACATTTTAAAAATTATGATCATTAATTTCGTTTTATCTGCGTGTGCGTTTCATCCCCGTGTTCGGACGCTTAGCTTCCACCAGGACCCCCGGCGATGCTGCGACGTCACCCTGCCAAGCATTCGGACGATGATGACGTCACAGGCATCATGGCACACTCACGTCATCACTTCTGAATCTTGACTTAGAAATCACTTTTCTCGGCCAACTTGCTCAGCTTGGCCAGAATCACCGCAGCTCAAGTGTAGCCAACACGATTTGTGGTTAAGTGTTCCAGCCTGTTGTTGAATGTCGCCGTGACATATATCGTTTGTGGAAATGTTTACTTTTTTTTATGTTATAGCTCGTGGTTATTGTGCGTGTGTGTATGTGTGTGCGTGTGTGTATGTGTGTGCGGGTGTGTATGTGTGTGCGTGTGTGTATGTGTGTGCGTGTGTGTGTGTGTGTGTGTGCGTGTGTTCTATATTCATATATAGTATATAATTCATATATGATATATATAAAACAATAGCTATATATATTATATGTATATTAGATCACCAAATCGTGTGTTGCCAGACACTTCTTTCCGTGGCATTGCTGCAACTACCTAAATTAATCCCAGAATTTTGAACAAAGAAACGTTCAAAAAATGAATTAACGAAAAACAAAAGCAATTTGACCCTTTAAACGGACTCTACACCTAAGCTACCCCTTAAATAAGACACTAAACGCACTTTGAGTATATAAAGAAAAAAAATATATCCACAAGACCAAAGGAAGAAATACCACAGCTCCTTTTCGAAAAAAAAAAAAATTGCAGGTATCACAAATCTACCTACGCTTATCTTTTCCCCTTTTAATTCATCATCTAATCTACCTATCGGATCTACTTATTTGGTGTAGACACCTGGCTTGCTGTAGGTCTGGTGTAGCTTGTCGAAGTGGCCCGGGTTGTGAGGGGAGTTGAAGATGAACATGTTGGAGGGACGGCCATTGAAGAACCAGGGACCGGCCAGCCACGTAATCGGACTCGGCTTTTTCGTCGGCAGAGGTCGTACGGGCTTCGCGGGGGCCGTGGTCGTCGTCGGAGCTGGAGTCGTGGTCGTAGTCGTAGTGGTAGTGGTAGGAGCAGGAGTGGTCGTGGGAGTGGCCGGAGAGGGTTTGAAGTGGTAGATACTCGACGGTTTGCCGTTGTTGACGAAATCGACGTCGGGGCGGACGAAGTTGTACGAGTTGCTGTTCGGGGAGACGTAGCCGAGGCCGGGGACGTACACGTAGGGATTCGGAGGCAGGCGGATGTAGAAGATGGGAGAGTTGGTCACGGGTTGAGACAGTTTCTGAGGGGCGGCCGTGACCAGGGGCTTCTGCAGGAAGGAGAGCAGAGAAGGCTTCTTGGTCGCGGGAGGAACGGGCGTCTGCGAGGGAAGAGGAGGAGGAGAGTGAGGTATTGCTTCTGGTATTGCTTCTGGTATTGCTATTTTTATCTTCGTCTTTGGTAATACTATTCTTACTTTCGTTCTTATCACGATTGGAAAAAGAGATAAATATTATCATTATTGTTATCATTGTCATTATCTTTATTGTCATTATCATTAGTATTGTTGTTGTTATCGTTATTAATGTCATCATTATTATCAAGATTGTTGTTACTATTATTACTATAGTCATTATCATCATAATTATTATTATGATTATTAGTGTTGTTTTGTTGTTGTTATTGATATTATTCTATTATCATTATGATCATCATTATTATTATTATTATTATGTATCACCATCGTTATTATTATTATCTTCATTATTATTATCATTATCATTATTATCATTATTTTTTTATCATTATTATGATTATTATAATTATCACCATTACTATTATTATTACTATTATCATTATCATTATCATTATTATTATTGTTATAATACTGTTATCATTATTGTTATAATACTGTTATCATTATTATTACCATCACTATCATTATTATGATTAATATTATCAATATCATCATTATCATTATTATCATTGCTAATATTATTACTATTATTATTATTATTGTTATTATTGTTGTTGTTGCTGTTGTTGTTATTATAGTTCTATTCTAGCATCATTATCATTACTATTATCTTTGTTACTATTATTATAATTATTTTCATCATTATCATTACCACTATTATCATTATCATTCAAGTCATTAATAATGTTATTACTATTATAATCATTATCTTTATTAGTATTATCATAACTATTATCATTATCATTATTATTATTAGTTCGACTGTTATTATCATTATTATCATTATCAATTCGACAGTTACTTTCATTATCATTGTTATCATTATTATCGTTGTCATTAGAATCATTATTATTATCATTAATTCGACTATTATTAATTATTAATGCTGTTATTTTTGTATTTTTCCTTAGATTTATAATAATAATAATAATAATATTTATCCTAAGCAAACTTAAAAATCATTTATTAACATTACCCAACACCCCCCCCCCCACCCCACCCAACCCCACAGCCTGTATCCTACCTTCGCCGTCGTCGTCTTCGTCGCCTCCTTCACCGCGCTCCTTCAGGATGTTCGAGGGCGTCTTCTGGCCGCCGGATCCTCTGATGAGCGCCCCTCGGATGCCACTCCGGGAGGCGGGGAAGAGGCGCCCGAAGGAGAAGGCGTGGGCGCCCCGTTGCCAGGGCGGAGAGGGCGGCCACCACCGTAGCGTCAGTGTGTGCTGTGGAAGGGGGCGGGCTTAGTATGCGGGTGATGGGGGGCGGGGCTTAGTATGCAGGTGATGGGGGGCGGGGCTTAGTATGCGGGTGATGGGGGGCGGGGCTTAGTATGCGGGTGATGGGGGGCGGGGCTTAGTATGCGGGTGATGGGGGTCGGGCTTAGTATGCGGGTGATGGGGGCGGGGCTTAGTATGCGGGTGATGGGGGGCGGGGCTTAGTTTGCGGGTGATGGGGGCGGGGCTTAGTTTGCAGGTGATAAGGGGCGGGGCTTAGTATGCGGTGATGGGGGGCGGGGCTTAGTATGCGGGTGATGGGGTCGGGGCTTAGTTTGCGGGTGATGGGGGGCGGGGCTTAGTATACGGGTGATGGGGGGCGGGCTTAGTATGCGGGTGATGGGGGCGGGGCTTAGTATGCGGGTGATGGGGGGCGGGGCTTAGTATACGGGTGATAAGGGGCGGGGCTTAGTATGCGGGTGATGGGGGGCGGGGCTTAGTATGCGGGTGATGGGGGTCGGGGCTTAGTATGCGGGTGATGGGGGGCGGGGCTTAGTATGCGGGTGATGGGGGTCGGGGCTTAGTTTGCGGGTGATGGGGGGCGGGGCTTAGTTTGCAGGTGATAAGGGGCGGGGCTTAGTATGCGGGTGATAAGGGGCGGGGCTTAGTATGCGGGTGATGGGGGGCGGGGCTTAGTATACGGGTGATGGGGGGCGGGGCTTAGTATGCGGGTGATGGGGGTCGGGGCTTAGTTTGCGGGTGATGGGGGCGGGGCTTAGTATACGGGTGATGGGGGGCGGGGCTTAGTATGCGGGTGATGGGGGGGGGGCTTAGTATGCGGGTGATGGGGGTCGGGGCTTAGTTTGCGGGTGATGGGGGCGGGGCTTAGTATACGGGTGATGGGGCGGGGCTTAGTATGCGGGTGATGGGGGGCGGGGCTTAGTATGCGGGTGATGGGGGTCGGGGCTTAGTTTGCGGGTGATGGGGGGCGGGGCTTAGTATCGGGTGATGGGGGGGGCTTAGTATGCGGTGATGGGGGGGGTTATTTTGGTTGGTGTGTTTTGCTATCGGATATTATTGTTGTATATGATAATTGTATTTTATTATTCTACTTCGTTCGTTCTTGTTATGGTGTTTTTTTTTTTGTTGTTGTTTTGTTTAATATTGGATGTATCATCTTTATTTATTATTATTATTATATTTCTATTTGATGTATCTTTTTTTTTTTTTTTAGATTTTTACAAACGCACTAACTCATTTACTCAATTATTCACTCATTCTCTCACTCACTCACTCACTCACACTCACTCACTGCCTCACATACCCTCACTCCCACCTACCCACTCACTCACTCACCCACTCACTCACACTCACTCGTTCACTTCATCACATACCCTCACCCCACTCACCCACCCACTCACTCACTCACTCATTCACACATTGACAAAGAGAAGAAAAATACAAATAAAGAACTCACCGAAATGAACTCACTCTCAAAAAAAATCTTACCCAGTACATCCTCAAAAAAAAAAAAAAAAAAAAGTTAACACACACACACACACACACACACACAACACACACACACACACACACACACACACACACACACACACAACACACCACACACACACACCACACACACGCACACACAAAAAAAAGTTAACACACACACAAAATAAAAAAAGGAAAAAAAAATACAGATAACAGACATATCCCCTCCCATCTCATTTTTCACATCCCACTCTCCGAAATCACCATTTTCATCCTCCCCCTTTTCATATATATGTTTTTTTAACCATCCTTTTTTTCTCTTATTCTTCCTCTCTATTCATCTTCCTCTTCTTCTTAGTCACGAAGAACCAGTAGCAGACACTCCAACAATAGGGGAGGGGGGAGGGGGGCGGGGGTGGTGTGAACCTTGGTCCTACGTGGCTGTGATGACAGGCAAAAAAAGGGGAAGGTAAATTGTTGGGGGGTGATTCTGTTGGTGGAGGTGGTGGGGGTAGGAGTGGGGGTGGTGGGGGGGAAGGAGAGGTGGAGGGGGAAGAGGGGATGGTGGGGATGGGGTAGAGGTGGTGGGTGGGGGTGGAGGAAGGGGGAAGAGAAGGTGGTGGTGGTGGGGAGGGTGGAGGAAGAGGAAGAAAAGGGGGATGGGGAGGTAGAGGTGGTTGGGGGTGGAGGTGGGGAGGGTGGAGGTGAGGGAAAGAAGGTGGTGGTGTGGGGGCGGGGATGGTCGAGATGGAGAGGGTGGTGGAGGGAATGAGAAGGGGGATGGAGAGGAAGAGGTGGAGGGAGAATAGGAGGTGGGGGGTGTTGGGGATTCGGTCGATGGAGATGGATAGTGGGGGGAGGAGGAAGAGGAAGGGGGAGAGAAGGGGGATGGGGAGGTGTAGGTTGTGGAAGGGGGAAGAGGAGGTGACGGTGATGATTGTTGAGGTGGAGATGGAGAAGAGGTGGAGGAGGAGGTGGGGATGGTGGACGAGGTGGAAAGGAGGAGGAGGGATGGAGGTGGAGGAAATGAAGAAGAAGAAAGAGAAGTGAGATTATAGAAAAAGAAGAAACAAAGGAATTAACAAACAAAAAAAATAGATAAAAAACGGGAACAAACACAAGGAAAACAAAGAAAAGAAATCCACAGCCTATCATTATGAAAGTGAAAACAGAACAATCGGTGTTTATTGCTTGTTTTATTAATTATTTGCTGCTGTTGCTCTCTCTCTCTCTCTCTCTCTCTCTCTCTCTTCTCTCTCTCTCTCTCTTCTCTCTTCTCGTCTCCTCTCCTCTCTCTCTTCTCTCTACCTTCCTCTCTCCTCTCTCTATCTCTCTCTCTCTCTCCTTCTCAGTCTCTCTCTCTCTTCTCTCTCTCTCTCTCTCCTTCTCTCTCTNTATATATATATATATATATATATATGTATAATATATATATATAATTATATATATATATATATATATATATATATATATATATATATATATATATATAGAGAGAGAGAGAGAGAGAGAGAGAGAGAGAGAGAGAGAGAGAGAGAAAGAGAGAAAGAGAGAGAGAAATAGACAGAGAGAGAGAGAGAGGTAGCGAGAGATAGATAAATAGATAGAATAGATAGATAGAAGGAGAGAGAGAGAGAGAGAGAATAGGCCACACCGAAACATGCTCTGAAGCAAGAAATGTTTTATTAATCTGAAATGACAGAGAGGCTGAACAGAAACTTGCGCTCGAATGATTTAGTGAAAGCAAATATGTATAAAAGATGAATCGAAAAATGAAGGAAAAGGTCGGTGAATTAAATGTTTATATTCATCGCTTTAATCTAAATAAAATAGTGAAAAGAAAAAAAAAGAAGAAAAGAAAAAAAGAAAATGAAAAGCACTTTCCGAAATATAACTGTACGGTCAAATGCATCAACCGCAAGAGGAAAAGGTCGAAATTCCCCAACGTTAACCTTTCAGATTCGACCATACTTTACGTGAAGATGAAATGATTGCCAAAGTGGGTGATAAAATTTGTCCAGATTATCCCCCGAAAAAAAAAGAAAAAAAAGTTCATGAAATACCCAATAGCATTTTTGACCGAAAGGCAAGGAAAGTTATTGATGAAAAAAAAGAAAAGAAATAAGAATTGGAAAGATAGATAGGCGATGATGGTAATAATTTTAAAGATGATAATAATGAAAATGATAATCATGATGATAACAGTGATAATTGCAATAATAATGACAATAATGATATTAATAATGATAATAATCACAATGATGGAATTGACAATGGTAACAATAATAATACCAATGACAATAATGATAACAATGAATAATGATAACAACAATAATCTGATGATGATAATAAAAATAAGAGTAATAATAATGATAATGATAATAGTAATGATAACAATAACAACAATAATGATAAAAATAACAGTGAAAATAAGAACATGAAAGTAGTGAAAAGGATAATAATAACAATATAAAGGATAAATGTAATAATAACAGTAATAATGATGATAATGATTATAACCTTGACACCACACCATCACCATCAAAAAACAGAGACTAACAAACACGAAGACTAACAAACACGAAGACTAACAAACCCGAAGACTAAAAACGAAGACTAAAGTTGAAGCAAACCCGAAGACTAACAAACCCGAAGACTAACAAACGCCGAAGACTAACAAACCCGAAGACTAACAAACCCGAAGACTAACAAACCCGAAGACTAACAAACCGAAGACTAACAAACCGAAGACTAACAAACCCGAAGACTAACAAACCCGAAGACTAACTAACCCGAAGACTAAACAAACCGAAGACTAACAAACCCGAAGACTAACAACCCGAAGACTAACAAACCCGAAAGACTAACAAACCCGAAGACTAACAAACCGAAGACTAAACAGACCGAAGACTAACAACCGAAGACTATAACAAACCCGAAGACTAACAAACGCCGAAGACTAACAAACCCGAAGACTAACAAACCCGAAGACTAACAACCCGAAGACAACCCCGAAGACTAACAACCCGAAGACTACAAAACCCGAAGACCCTAAACAAACCCGAAGACTAACAAACCGAAGACTAACACCCCGAAGACTAAAAACCCGAAGACTAACAAACCAAGACTAACAAACCCGAAGACTAACAAACCCGAAGACTAACAAACAAACCCGAAGACTAACAAACCCGAAGACTAACGAAGACTAAAACCCGAAGACTAACAAACCCGAAGAAGAAGACTAACCCAAGACTAACAAACCCGAAGACTAACAAACCACTAACAACGAAGAAACTAAAACCGAAGACTAACAAACCCGAAGACTAACAAACACGAAGAACAACGAAGACTAACAACCCCGAAGACTAACAAACCCGAAGACTAACAAACCCGAAGACCTAACAAACACGAAGACTAACAAACCCGAAAACTAACAACGAAGACTAACAAACCCGAAGACTAACAAACCCGAAGACTAACAAACCCGAAGACTAACAAACCCGAAGACTAACAAACCCGAAGACTAACAAACCCGAAGACTAACAACCACGACTACAAACCCGAAGACTAACAAACCCGAAGACTAACACGAAACTAACCGAAGACTAACCGAAGACTAACAAACCCGAAGACTAACAAACACGAAGACTAACAACCCGAAGACTAACAAACCCGAAGACTAACAAACCCCGAAGACTAACAAACCGAAGAACTAACAAACCCGAAGACTAACAAACAAACAACGAAGACAACAACCCGAAGACTAACAAACGAAGACTAAACAAAAGCCGAAGCAACACTAACTAACAAACCGAAGACTAACAAACCCGAAGAAACGAGACTAACAACCGAAGACTAACAAACCGAAAGACTAACAAACCCGAAGCTAACAAACTACGAGACTAACAAACCCGAAAACTAACAAAACCCCGAAGAAAGACTAACAAACACAAACCACGAAGACTAACAACCCGACAGACGAACAAACCCGAAGACTAACAACAAACCGAAAGACTAACAAACTCCGAAGACTAACAAACCGAAGACTAACAAACCCGAAGAACTAACAAACCGAAACTAACAACCCGAACTAACAAGAACAAACGCGAAGACTAACAAACACGAAGACTAAACAAAACCGAAAATAACAAACCCGAAGACTAACAAACCCGAAGACTAACAAAACCACGAAAAGAAAGACTAACAAACCCGAAGACTAACAAACGACTAACAAACACGAAGCAACTAACAAACACGAAAACCAACTAACAACCCGAAGACTAACAAACCCGAAGACTAACAAACCGAAGAACAGAACCTAACAAACACAAACAAATTCAGAGCCCCCCTTCTCAAATTCGTCCCCGTCATACAACCCTTCCCCTATCGATGTAAGATTCTTTTAACAAAATTCTCAAAGGCAACATGATGTCTCTCTCAGCATTGAAGCGGCGCGGAAGTGGGATGAACTATAACGAGGCCAACATAGGAATGCACTGGTTTGAAGGGAAAAGCATGAATAGCGAGCAGCGTTCAGTAACAGCCTCTTCAGGTGACCCAGATTCAAAGGCGGAGAGGAACTCGCATCTGACACTTTCCTTCTCTCTCTCTGTCTCTTTATCTCTCTCTCTGTCTGTCTCATCTCTCTCTCTCTTCTCTCCTCTCCTCTCTCATCTCTCTCTTCTCTCTCTCTCTTTCTATCTGTCTGTCTGTCTCTCTCTTCTGTCTCTCTCTCTCTCCTCTATCTATCTATCTATCTATCTCTTTCTCTCTCTCTTTCTGTTTCTGTCTGTCTGTCTGACTCTGGTCTGTCTTCTGTCTGTNTATATATTATATATATATATATATATATATATATATATCATATAATATATATATATACCCAATATTACGATTACATGTTATTATTTTGACTGACTCGGCTTCTCTTTTTCGCCGCCGCAGCTCAGTGCGATGGGTTGGAGGAGCCCAGCGGTCCAGCAGTCCTCGCCAGATTTCTTCGCCCCGGTGTCCCTCCGCCCGCGCTCTCCCCTCCCTAAGGCCTCTCTTCCCTCGCTGCGATCTCTCCCGCCCTCTCCTCCAACGCAACCTTCCCCTCCCGCAGCCCTCCCACACCTCCGCGAAACCCTTGAATTCCGACCGCTTTCCATAGACATCTCGAAGCTTCCTCTGCAGACGTCTGAGGAAATTCTACCGCCGGAGGGAGACGTCCTTCGCTCCTCGCTCCTCCCTACGCCTCCTAATCCTCCCGCAGTTGACTTCCTTAGACAGAACCTCGATCTCGGCGCCCCTCTTCTGCGGGAGACTCGGCAGGGTGCTTTCTCCTCCGAGGGATCAGAATCCGGTCTCCCTTTCAGCATTTCCAATTTGGATGTCAGAGGGGGGTTCCAGCTCAGCCAGCCAGAGGTGAATATGATGTCAGTCTTTTAGTTATTCTTGTAGTTATTCTTGTAGTTATTTTTACTATTATCAGAATTAAGTATAATACTGTTATAACACACAGCAATACTAATAAAGGTAACGATAATAATGATAATGTTAATAATGATATTATTGTGGTGATGATGATGATGATGAATAACAGTTTTGATTGTTATCATTTGTTGTTATTTCATAATTATTATTAATGTTATCATGATCAGTGCTCTTATTATTATTATTATCATTATCATTATTATTATTATTATTATTACTGCCATTACTATTATTATAACAATAACAATAAGAATCATTACTGTTATCATTATCATTGTTGTTGTTATCGTTATTACTTTCATCGTTATTGTTATTATCATTATCATTAACATCCTCATAAAAATACCAATATTGAAGATGTTTTTTAACATAAGGATTATAGAACATTATTTCTTCTATCACAAATAATATTGCTGATATGAAAAACTAAAAACAATAGTAGCGTAGTAATAGTATTAATAATAATCATGATATGAAAAAAAAATCATCAGTAATAACAACAATAACAACAACAACAGGGTTGATGATATTAAGAATGATAATGATAGTAATGATTACCATAACAATAATAGTACAGATAATAACAATAATAAGAAAAATAATACGGATAACAAAATTGTAATGATAATAATGATAATGTATAAAATAGTAATTATTATTACAAAAATGATGGTAATAGGAATGAGGATGGTAATAGTTATTGTAGAAATACTACTACTAATAGTAATAATGATGATAACAATGATAATTATAATAATAATGAAAAGAAATAATAATGATCATTATCAGAAGAAGAATTATGATGATAATTTACAGCAAGAGACAAAGATAATAATTTCAGTAAAAGTTATGATAATGATAATAAAAATAGCAAATAAACTATATTATGTCAGTTAAAATATAAATAAAACAATTTGTTTTATTATTATCATTATTATTATCATTACTATAATTATCATTGTAACCATCATTGTTATTTTTATCATTGTTATACTTAACATCATTGGTATATCTAGTTATTATTGCTCTCATTATTATTGCTGTTCGTTTTCTTGGTATTATTAATACTTTTAAAATTATAAATAAAATACCTTCGACAACGAAAACAACCAGAAATATAAACAAAATTATGAGAATAACGATAATAATAACTTATATATATGTAAATGTACATATACATACACACACACACACACACACACACACACACACACACACACACACAACACACACACACACACACACACACACACACACACACAACATATATATATATATATATATATATATATATATATATATATAATATATATATATATATGTATGTATATTATATAATATATATATATATATATATATATATAATATATATATATATATATATATATATATAATATATATATATACATGTATATACATACACATTTACAAACATACACACACACACACACAAACACACACATATATATGTGTGTGTGTGTGTGTGTGGTGGGTGTGTGTATGAGTGTGTATATCTGTTGTGTGTATATTTGTGTGTATGTCTGTGTAAGTCCGTGTGAATATAGATTTTATATGTATATGTACATATGTATATGTATAGATTGATAGATAGATAGACAGGTTGGTCGATATATATAGAAATTTTGTATCTTTCACAGTTACAAGCTTTAGTCACCGCTCCGGATATATCTCAACTTCCTTTACAAGGATCCAATGAAAATCAGGGACTGGGTGGCATCAGCTTCTTAAGTAGTCATACGGGGCTGCAAGAATCCTTGGTACAGACTTCAGGTTCGCGAGACAGCGTTCGGTTTCCGGAAAAGATCGAATCATTTCAGGCCGAAAATGGAAGGTGAGGATCTGCAACAGTCTAGTTCCTTGTGCAACTTAAAAATGTATCTACATGTATGTAAATCTATTTCTTTTACCTATTTGTCTATTTAAGTATATACAAAGTCTCTGCATTTATACAAACTTATTTCTCTCTTTTTCTCTCTCTGTCAATTCAAGTATAGACAAAGTATTTATGCAAACTTATTTCTCTCTTTTTATCTATCAGTCTATCAGTATATGTGTACAGAAACACACAAACACTAACACACACAGTAAAACACACATACAAAGACATGTATAAATATATATGTATTTATAAATAAAGAAATTTAATATATATATATATATATATAATATATATATATATATATATAATATATATATATATATATATAATATATATATATGTATATATATATATATATATATATATAATATATATATATATATATATATATATATATATATATATGTGTGTGTGTGTGTGTGTGTGTGTGTGTGTGTGTGTGTGTG